TAACAATATAAGTGTTACAGCTCTTACAAAGAACCAAGCTTTCTTGCGGAGCAGGACCAGCAGTAAGATAGGTCTTATAAGTGTTATAGCTCTCACAAGGAAACAAACGTCCTTGTAAAGTAGGATTAGCAATAAGATAGGTTTATATACAAGTGCTACAGCTCTTACAAAGAGCCAAACATCCTTGCAAAGCAGGATATAAGTGTTTACAGCTCTTACAAAGGGGCAAACCTCCTTGCAAGTGTTACAGCTCTTATAAAGGGACAAATCTCATAGAGCCTCTATGTAACATATAAGCCCACTTGTAACATACAAGTGTTATAGAGCCAAACCTCTTTGCTCTTCTGCTCTTTCTCTGAGCTCTGCTGAAGTCTGCACTTAGGCTCTTTGGCTTATATAGGGGCAATTGTCCAATGAGTTTTTGGGTCCTGAAAATAGACCAATCATGAGTAGGTTTTGAAAATGGACCAATCAGGGATGCACTGGAGGAATTGCCAGAAGTCCACGTGAGGAGACAGCACAGCGCCAGTTTCTTCCCCCACTTGTGTCAGGTTCTTTTGGCTACTGGAGCTTCCCTTGGGGGAGGGAAGCTCCCCTGCTTGCCTGCGCTCTATCCTGCTGGTTCCTCTGCCGGCTGCCTCCACCAACATTGCCAAGATGGAGGTGGCAGGTCCTCCAGCCCCACCTGGCTGAGCTAGCTGGGGCACCACCTGTCCAGTATCAATTTCAACTGGCCCGTTACATGTTTTAATCCCCAAAGAAATTCCAGATGCTTTATGGATTATGAAACAGACATTCTATATGCAACTTTAAAAGGAAGTTGTGATTGCTGAAACCAGCATTTAATCAAACAAGTCATGATGAAAACAACAAGATTTTTTTTCTCTCTCCTCTTTTTGTAGAGGAGCTGTAAAACTAATCGGAGAAGTACCATAGACATAGCATTGGTATATCAGCCTCTCCAGAGGGCATGTGAACCTTTAATATGCTGCCTTGCATTATGAATATCTATAGGAAATTACCAAATATAGCACTTTCTAAATTATTTGACCATGAAATCCATTATCTTCAGAGCACCTAGTAAAATCTGCAAGAACTTTGGTTGGCAAAACATTGGGAAATACTACTTCAAGTGTTGAGAGTAAAGGTGAAGATAGCCTTCGAGATACTGTGTTCATTTTCAAAGGAACTATTTTTAAAAGAACACAAGCAAAATGAATTTTTCCAAAGGACGAGACCAATGTAATGAATTAAGCTGTATTATCAAAGAAATTATCAGGAGCTATGGAAGAGAGATCTTGGGGAGTGAAGTTGTCTTAAGAATCAATTTCATGTTTTTCAATGGGTATTATATGGAGAAAGAATGGACTTGCTCAGTTTAGTGTAATCAGCCAGAAACAGAGTATTAACTCAGAGTTATAGGGAAGCAAATTTTGGCTAAATATAAAGTTTTTTTGTGAGATAACTAGTTTTGGGGTTTCACAGCCTGAATTCTATAATAGCCTCATTACTTCTTAGCCAGGCATCCTTGAACAAATGACTCACTCATATAAGGAAGCTCATGAATGTACTATAAAGAGTAAATCCTACTCTTGAATTTGAAAAGATCCACATAATTCCTGGCACATAGTAAGTCCTCAGTAAGTGGAATTATTGGTGCTATTGGTACACGTACAGCTGCCCAATAATAAAATGCACAGAGAACTTCTGAGGGCAGAGAATATCTCAATAATTCAAGTGAATTCTTAATCATTTAAAAATTTTTGAAAGCCTACTGTAGGGAACACATCATGGGGAGTAGCAGTGACTCAGTTCCCATACTTATGTGTTAACAATCACATAAGGAAGAGAAAGGGAAGTAAGGCAAACAGATTAGCAACAGTAACACAAGGTGGAATGCTTATAAATGTCAGAAATTAAGAGCGCAAGGGCTAATTCTTTTGAAGAATAGATGGAAAGCTTTGTGAAAATGGGAGCATATGAAGAATGGGAAAACTTTCAGTGGGTGGGGTAAGATGGGAGGCAGCACATTGCAGGAGAAGGTCTATGATGAGGAGAGGCCAAAGGCAAGAAAGCATGAAGGTATATGCAGATAAACAGTGCAGTTTAAAGGGACTACAACGGCAAGCCTAAAGGAAAACAGAACAGAATTCTAGGTAATTATTGGGGGACACAGAATGGATTTACACTTAACTTTGGGATTAGTGGGTAACATTTTGAATGAAAGGAGTACTTTAAAAAAATGAATTTGGTAGTGGCAAAAAAAGGTTAGGATCCTACTCCTAAAGCTGGAAGCCAGTAAGAAAAATAGTGCAGTAAGTGAAAAATGAAGAGAGGGCAGTGACTGTGGTTCAGTGAGTAGGGCGCCAGCCCCATATACTGAGGGTGGCGGGTTTGAACCCGGCCCAAGTGCAACAAAAAAAGAAATGAAAAGAAAAATGAAGAGAATCCCAAGTTGGCTAAAGCACTGGGAATGCAGAGGAAACTCCCAATGAGTTAGATGAAGAGCAGACCCTGAGAAAAGCTCTGGCAACAAACAAGGGACGCTATGGATTTTAAATATTGAATTTAAGTTAAGGGGTTTTAGCAAGAACATTTCAAGGTAAGGTCCAAGGTATTTATTCTCAGCATAATAGTACAGAGTAGACCCTGATAAACATTTGTTTAATAGGGGAATTTATGAATGAATAAATGATGAAGAAGAATGGAAGATAGTAACAGAAGAAGTAAAAGGTAAAAGCTTGCAAGAGTCAATTTCAGGAAGGGGAAAGCTGGTTGGATAGAGATGGGAGCTTAAAAGTAGCCAAAGAGACCTTATTCCAAGTAGGTCCATAGGCCAGATCCAGCACATCACCTGATTTTGCACAGCCCAGGAGCTAACAATAACTTTTATATTTTAAATGGTTGAAAATAAACCAAAGAAGAGTAATATTTTGTGCCATGTAAAAATGAAACTCAAATTTCAGTGTTTATAAATAAAGCAACAACTTTTTTTGTTGTATTATTTTTGCAGAAGTGACAGGCTAGTGGGTAAATATTATGAAGGAGTGTCTTTATCCAAATTTACTTTTAGGTTCACTTCCTAAATGCTATCTATGTCCTTACTACAGTCCTGTGAGATAAAACTTATTCTTCCCATTTTACTGGTAGATAAATAAAAGATTGTGATCCAATCAAGGTCACACAGTCCATCAGGGGTAGAGACACTTATATTAATCTGCTTTTCCAGACTTTTCATTTTCCTCTAGGAGCAAAACACTGACTCTGAAAACAGTGAGACCCAGACATGCTCATAAGAAGTTGGGAAATGTTTTGAATGCTTAGAGGGAAGTTTTGGAACTCAATCAAAAAAGGGAACAATGGGGAAAGGGGAGAGGGAGGGGAGGGGAAGGGAGAGGATGGGTAGAGGGAGGGTGATTGGTGGGATCATGTCTATGGTTCATCTTGTAAAGGTACATGTGAATTTTTCTAAATGTAGAATATAAATGTCTTAACACAATAACTAAGAAAATGACATGAAGGCTATGTTAACCAGTTTGATAAAAATATTTCAAATTGTATATAAAAACAGCACACTGTACCCCATGACAGTATTAATGTACACAGCTATGATTTAATTAAAAAAAGTTGAATTTATTTAAATCACAAAAAAAGCCAGCAGCAATACAGTTTATTTCATTAAAAAAAAAAAAGAGAAAAGGGAACAGTTAAGTAGAGATTTATATGATTTAAATCAATTAATCCTCAGAACTCCTCCATGAGAGCAACAATATTAATAACAACCCTGGATTGGATAAAGGATGGCCTTCTTAAAGACCATACCCTAGGAAAAAGCACAGTGGGTAGATACTCTCAAGCTTTGGGTCCTTTGGAAGGTAAGACCATTAGGCTTCCAAAGTCTCAGCCAACTAAGGGCAAGTATCTGTGATTCCATGTTCAGGACACTTAGGGAAGGATTCCCATCCACTAGGTTTATACTCTGGTGTCTCTTTCTCACTCCTCTAATCTCTCCCCACCCAGCTTCCCACAAAAGTTCACAAGCTCCTCCTTGATAGCTTATTCAGAAGAGACTTGAGTTACAACACATCAATCAGCATTTGAAGAAAAGGAGCAAATAAGTTTAAAGTTCATGTTGAGGGGTGTGAAAGCACAAAAGCTATGGCCAACTAAGAACAGACAAGAGCACTGCGTCGGGAGCCATGCCTCTCTTTGATATACAGAAAAGACTGGGCCTTAATTTATATCTCGGGTTGACAATCCATAGTGCTGAACAACCCTACAGGACTCCTGCTCCATGCCATGCTTTTGAAAAAGAATGGATAGAATGTGCACATGGAATTGATGTTATCCCGGCAGAGAAAGAGTGCAACACAAAATTTTATGATTTCATAGAATGTATAAAAACAATTGAAACAATTGTTGAAAACAATTCAGCGCTTGAAAGCCATCAAGAAACAGTGGCATAAGCTAATAAAGGAAGGGAAATACACCCCTCCGCCTCACTGCTTGGGCCAGGAGGAGTCTAGGCCCTGAACAGAGAGCAGCAGCTGATGGCTTGAGGCTGATTTTCATTCTCCACTGGAAAGTTTGTTAATGTATACAGCTATGATTTAATTAAGAAGTTAACTGAAAACTTTTTTATCAAAGTATGTAAAAATAAAGGATTACTCCATCTTGTTTAAAAAAAAAAAAAAACAAAGAACAAAAAAACAAAATAACCTCTCCTGTAGAAAGCCCAGAGGCAGGTATCAGAGAGTTCAGCAGCTGCGGATTTTGAAAGTGGTTTATTTAAACAGCCACTTTCCAACTAGGAACTCGCTTTGGCAGCTGCCCCACAAAACAGGAAGTAATTTGAACGCAGTTTGTTTTTATGACTTTCTGAACTTCAGGCGTAAAACAAGTTTTAGCACTGGTTCTACTCCCTTGCTTTAGTACCTCTATTTCTTATCAAATAACTGTGCAGGGGTTCAAGTACCAAGGTAAAGTTCTGAACAAATACTGACTTAGTAATCAGCTCTGTGCACCAGTCTCTGGTGCCAGTTAATTCAAAGAAAGCTTAGCTGCTTTTTTTTTTTTTTTTAAATCTTGGCTAGAACTGGTGGGGGTGGGGAGAAAAAGAGGGAACCGGGAAGAGGAGGGGGAAGTTAAGCCTTGCTTCCCTCCCTGTCTTCTTCAGAAAACCAAATATGGCATCTTCCATGAGGAGCTTGTTTACTGACCACGGCAGATACGTGGAAGCTTTTCGGAGGTTTCTCAACAGTTCCACGGAACACCAGTGCATGCAGGAATTCATGGAGAAGAAGCTGCCAGGAATAATAGCAAGGTAACAAAAAGTGACGTTTTTGTCGAAGGGACAAGCCTTAGACTCGCCCTGCGTCAGTGATAGATGAGCGGGCTGAGCCTCGCAGGCTGAGCCCCGCAGGCTGGGCGCGGGGGACCAGGATTTGGTACTGATAGCAGCGCCCCCTCAGCGCCTCCTCCTGCCCGCCCTGCCTTTCCCCTGCAGAGCTTTGCTTCTACGTTTGCTTTAAACACTAAAAGGTTCCGATTTGTGCTGTATTTTCTTCCAGCTGCACAGAGATAAGCCTTAACCATTTGAAGGAACAAATCCATGTTCATTTGGGAAAAGATAAGATACTAATCTTTAAACTCAGATTTTTCAGCCCTCCTCCAACTTTTACATCTCAAAAAAGTCCCAAAGGGGAGTATGGTATGCTTTTCATTAGAATCAAACACAAATAATTGGCAAATACTATTTGCCTCTGAGGATTGAGTGAGTGCCTCTCAGTTCTCATAACAGCCATCCAAATTGATTTTCTTTATCCTTTATTACAGTTATCACTCTCCCCTCCCTCTGCAAAAATTGTTTTTTTCTTTCAACTTAATATTAGTAGTCTATCCCTTAGAAAAGAGCATTTTCCCATTATCAGTGGAACTCACTAGTTTCTATCCTTCTTGCAGATTCCTTTTTTTTTTTGGTGATTAATGTGTTCAATTTGTGCCAGTGCTGATAAGCATTATGAGAGTAACAGATTCCACATGCTAAAGATAATCAAATAACTTATCTGAGAGTAAATTGCTGTAACTCATTCTGCTTCAGGAAATAGTGATGGAAAACTGGGGAGAAATAACTGACTGTGGATCCAATTTGAAAGTAACAAAGGAAACTGATATTTTATCTTTTGCTGGAGTTCTCTGCTATAGGCCTGAAATTCTTTCACTAGGGCAGTACCATTGCCTACCAGAGCAGATATTGTTAAATGGATATGAAATTTGATTTCCATTTATATTTTACATGGCTTAGATTTTAAGTGTTAGTTTCTAAAGAGGGGTGGGTCTTATACAGGGTGGCCATAAAGTTCATGTGCAATTTATTTACATGAACTTTATGGCCACCCTGTATAATAATTAATATGTGATATATAGTAGGATAAGGATGCAAAAATCAGAGCAAATAGTGAACACAGACAACTTCTTATTTAGGAACTAATTCTAGTTTTCTTTTTTGGGTTTTTTTGCTCATTTCCAAAATTAAAGGTGATGAGTTAATTTCTGAGTTTTATTCCAATAATGAAAGTATGTATTTTTGTCTGTAGTTTATCCAGATCCTTGGTTTTGTGCAGTCATAGAGTTTGGTTTAAAGAGATACCACGGATAGATATAACATAATGAATGATGGATGGACCTTCCCTGGCTTCAGAGTTTATGCAGTCTAATCAGAAATACTCAATGCAAAAATATGTGAAAGAGTGAAGAATTTTCAAAGGCATACTAAAATGGCATTTTAATGGTAACATACAGTTAGGAATGTGCAGAATCAAAGTACCATTTATTAAGAAAGTAATTTTGTTCTAAAGCTGATGTGAGAAAAAAAGATTTAGCTGAAGGGCCTTGAAAATGCTTGCTTAATGTTTTCTAGAGTTAGGCAGCACCAAAAAGGCACTCACATCCTCCTTGGGTGCGTGAGGGCAGGGTTTGCCAAGTAGGTGATTTACTGTGGTAATTGAGTTGTTAATTGGGTGTGGACTCATCTTACATAATTTCCCATTTTTATTAAAGCAAGACATGCTCAAATTTTAAAACATCAAACGGTTCTAAAAAGCCTATAACTATTAACACCACCACCAAAAACAGAAGTCCCTTGCTCCATCTACTCTATCCCTGATTCCCACTCTTCAGAAGCAACGATTTTTGATATTTAGAAATTTTTTAGTTGTTTTTGGTAGAACTTTCTTTCATAATTCTCTTTTGTTGGCCAGGGCTGGGTTTGAACCCTCCACCTCCGGCATATGGGGCTGGTGCCCTACCCTTTTGAGCCACAGGTGCCGCCCTCTTTCATAATTCTTAACATTGTTATTCATCTATTTCTTCATTGTACTGTATTAAAATAACCACACACTTTTCCTACACTATCATGTCACAGTATTATGTCAACACTTTTGCTTAAATAATTTGAGTGTTCATATCATTTTGCCTGTGTGTATATTATTTATAATTGAACAATATAGTGTACCATAATTACATTAATTACATTTCTTTTCTTATATAAGTTTTTATTTTCCCTAGAGTTGACTATTGCCTTGACTTTAGTTTCTTTCTTTTAGTTTTCTCTGTATCCATTACAACATTAATAAATATATCAATCTCTCAATATAGTCAAACCGATCAAGGAATCTATTATCTTTCTGAAACCCTTTGTTCTTTTTTCCATTCTGAGAAGATTTGATTTTGGTTTGCTATATAATTGCTGTACAATTTGTTTCATTTCTGGAAATTCTCTTTCCCTCTTTCTAGTTGTTGATTCCCTGATTCTGGATATCATGTTTTTTTTTTTTTTTCTCTCTTATTTTTCTCAGTCCTTTTTTCCCCTCCAGTTAATTCTTTGAGGTTTAAAGGTGAATGGAGGCTAAATTTTTTGAGAGTTTGTATGTTTAAAAATGCCTTTACTTTATGCTTATCCTTGCTATTGGATATAGAACCCTATGCTGAAATGATTTTGTATCACAAATTAAAGGTACTTTTCCATGTCTTTTAGCTATTGGAGTTGTGTTAAGAAATCAAATGCTATTCAAATTTCTCATCTTTGGCATGTGAGCTTTACATTGTATTTGCTTTGTTTTGTTTTCCTTGCACTGAAGATTTTATGATTTTCTTATCTCTGATATTCTGAAATTTTAAGATAACAAGTTATGGAGTGAGTCTTTTCACCCATTTTTTGTGGGTACTTCCTGAACCATTTGCATTGAGATTCAGATCTGGGAAACTTTGATAATATTTAATCATTCTTCCCGTTTTTTCTTCTTAGAACTGGTCAAACATTAGACTGCCTGGATTGATTTCCTAGTTTTCTTCTTCTTTTTCTTTTCTTTTCTTTCTTTCTTTTTTTTTTTTTTTTTTTTGAGAGAGTCTCACTTTGTCACCCTTGGTAGAGTGCCATGGCATCATAGCTCACAGAAACCTCAAACTCTTGGGCTCAAACAATTCTCTTACCTTAGCTTCCCAAGTAGTTGGGACTACAGGGACCTGCCACAACACCTGGCTATTTTTAGAGATGGCGTTTTGCTCCTGTGAACTCAGGCAATCCACCTGCCTCAGGTTCCCAAGTTTTAGGATAACAGGTGTGAGCCACTGCATCCAGCCCCTAGTTTTCTCATATTACCAGTTCACTACAACTTTATCTTTCAGCCTATCTATTAATTTTTAGCTATTATATTTTTAATTTCTAAGAATGTTCCTTTTTTATAGTATCATTTTTTCATTTCCAAATATAATACCTTCTCTTATCTATTAAAAAATGTTCCCCTGCTCTCAGCAAGTGTCTTCTGAGTTCCCTTTTTCTGTTTCTTTTAGTCTTTGTTTCTCCCTGTTACAGGAGCTCCAACTCCCTTGATTAGCCTGACTGTCCATCCAATCAAATGATCAGGCACTCAAAGGGATGGATTTGTTCAGTAAATGTCTTACTGTATAACTGGATACAAACTTAGCTCTTTCCTTGAAGAGCTTCAGATGTCGATATATGTAAGCTTATCACTGAGACAGTTTGTTACTCCAGAGAGGAGTTCTTCAATTCCCTGGGGCAGGGGGTGGCAAGGAGGTTACAGAATATAGCTGTAAATAGTAAAGTTCATTATTGTCATTACATGTAAAGCATTTAGACTCTGACCCGGAAAACAGTACATTTTAAAAATAATTATTATCATTATAATATATGAAATGGGATTAATGATGGTATCAACTCATAGGGAAGTACAAGAAGTCAAAGAATTAATTCATGTAAATCACTTAGCTGTGACTAGAATCATAACAATTGCTATTATATGTTGAATGCTTGTCACCTGCAGATATATTTCTAAGAGATTTGCATGCATTAACTCATTAAATCCTCAAAACTTCCTCATGAGTTAGATACAGTTATTCATAATCCTGTAAAGTAGAGTGATATCCTATATGTGGGTCACTGTGAAAGTTTTGAGACAGACTTTGTTACGGTCCATTATTTCACTTTCAAGAAATACAGTGGACAGCATCTTTTCTGATCCATGCCTATGAGTTTCAGTTTGCCTGGCTTATTGATGTTGCTGGGAGGGCTTCATTTATTGCAATCTACACGGATTTTGTGTTTCTTATTGTGTATCTCAGAACTTTCGTAATGACGCACATATTTCATGGGGAGGTCGAATAACTTGCTCAAGGTAACATGTCAGTAAGCTGGGAGGTCAGCCTGGATCTTCTGCTCCGTAGTAGCAGCATTCCTATGCCATCCACAGAAATAAGCTTTTTTTTTTTTTTTTTTTGAGATGGAGTCTGATTTTGTCGCCCTCTGCAGAGTGCCATGGCGTCTAGCTCACAGCCCCTCAAACTCTTGGGCTCAAGGGATTCTCTCGTCTCAGCCACCTGAGTAGCCGGGACTACAGGTGCCTGCCGCAACACCTGGGTATTTTTAGAAACAGGATCTCACTCTTGCCCGGGCTGCTCTGGAAACTGGGAGCTCAGGCAGTCCACCCGCCTCAGCCTCCCAGAGTGCTAGGATTATAGGCGTGAGCCCCTGTGCCCGGCCACAGATGCAAGCATTTTTAAGAATGAACAAAGGTATAGTTAGAAATGGATGTATTAAGATTCAGGGATATGAGTTGGAAGACAGCTAGAACTGAGGATGGCAACTTGCTTCTAGGTGCCCTTGACTCCAGCCTTTCCACTTTCTTTCAGAATCTTGCATCAACCATGGTTTGCATCCTGTGACTCCGTGCAGCCTTTTTCATTACAGTCCAAAGACAGGCTTGTTGACCATCCCACGATTCAAACAAACACCATCCTTTCAGTTCACCTTTTCACTCTAGCAGTCATCTCTTTTCTTTCTCTTTCTTTCATCCTCTTTCAAGTCTCTAGATCTGCTTCTTTTTTTTTTAAGTCTGCTTTTAATCCCATTGCCATCTGACTGCAGTCCTCCGCTCTCTTTTAAAACTGCTGTTATCAAAGACATTCATATTGCCAAATTCAATGGAGATTTTTCTCTTTTTTTATTTTTTGGTAGTATTCTCTGTTGCCTTTGCCATGACTGATGGCTTTCTCAGGCTGTAACTCTCTTAGCAGCCCTCTGAGCTTTATTGCCTTTCATTTCTGTCTCCTTTGTGTATTCTTCATGGTCCAGTGACCTTTAAAAGTTGGCATTGCATCATTACCCACTACTCTTTCACCTCTTTGCAATATCTTTCAGTGACAGAATCCACTCTTTTGGTTTTGACCATTACTTTATGATAAAGAGAATACATAATTGGCCCTGAGAGACTAGATCATCTTTCTTCTAACCAGCTTAAATCTTGCATATCCAAATATCTGCTTAATTCAGATTTATTTAAGAAAAAAACTAACAAAATGTAAACTTGCTTTCAAACTATTACACTTCAGCTTCCTTTTGGCATCACCCTTTGCCCAGTCATCCACGCTGAAATTGTGTAGTCACACACACATACTTTTTATTCTGACCCTTTCAGATTAACCTAAAAGAAAGTCCTACTGAGTTACTTCCAAATACATCTATTCCAGTCTATTTCTAGCGCTAGAGCATAATTTGGGGCTTTATTATCTCACATTTCAACTTGAGAGCAAAGTAGTAATGTCTTACCCATTTTTATAACCTCAATGCTTAGCATAGGCACATAATAAATGTTTAATAAGCATTTCTTCATTAAAAGTAGGGTAGAAAGAAGGATGAAGAGAAGGCTGACATCATAGAGATAGTCTGAACCTCCTTAGCCTTTCTCCCACGCACAGTGAATGGCTTATTATATCACCAGACTCAAAGGTCCACTTTTTCTGTTCTTTTTCTCTAAACAATCTCCAAAAAAATACCATTTCCCACCTATGACATGTTCACAGTATTGTCTCTAAGTCTCCCAGGTTAAAAATGCTAATGAATGAATCCTGTATTTTTTGTAATATACTCTAAAGATACCAATATAACTACTGATAAGACTGGGATCTTTTATGTTGGTCTAGTTTTTGTTCCTTGGATTTTTAGCCTGTTCTTTTCAACTAGACTAGATGATCAGATTTTACAAAGCATGTAACACAGCCTTTTAAACTATGTGTTTTTTTTTTTTTTTTTTCAGGATTGGAGACACAAAACAAGAAATTAAGATTCTAAGCATAGGTGGAGGTGCAGGTATGAATAACACATTTCAAAAATTTGTATTTCATTCTAAACATCATGCTTTATGAGGGAAATATTGTTCATTCTCTAGGAAAGCTATTTTCCTTTGCTTTTGGAAGCGATCAGCTTATCAAAGCTACAAGTACCACTTCAACTAAGGTTAAGGCCCCTATAAATTTATTCGATTTAGGACATTAGCCTTCATTACTATCTGTAATGTGAATAAGGGATGTGATTTTCTTATTCTTTTGATAAATGAAAAAACAAATAGGATAATTCTAAGGATAACTTTTATCCAAAAATGATTTAAATGTCTGCAAAAAAGGAAAATCTCATAAGAAGCTCTTTAAGCTTGTTCCTCTTAAAACACGGTCCGTGGACTGGTTACTGGTTTGCAAACCATTGTTGGTCCACATGGAGATTAGAAACATGGACTGGAATGTAAGTTGATGGCTGGCTTCCTTCACTGGGAAAGTCTCACTGTGGTGGAAAAACACTTGCTTAATGACACAGTTAATTCATTCTTACTTTAGTTAACCCATTCTTTCAGAGGCATAGGCCTAACACATTTCCTTCCTCTGGCTGAGTTCCAACACTGCCCTCTACTCATTCAGAACACTCCTAAATCTCCACTTAGATGGTTTTGATGATCTCATTGCACTGAGAGCCTGTGCTTTTATTGTAGAAGAAAATGAAAAGTCTAGAAAGATAGATGGAGATGGGTGTTATTTCTGACTCTGCTGTGAATGCATTAAGTGACCTTGGCTAAAATACAAGCTGCAGTTTGCTCATCAGTAAAATGGGAACATTTGAAATTCAACTTTATGAATTTTATCTCACATAAGATGGATTACATTTACAAAATACTTAAAACAACGTTATTGCTCCTAGAAGGTGAAAGCTGTTTTCTTCTGCAAAAATGAAACAAAAGGTTTCATCTCAAGACTTTGCCTCATGTCACGCTCTTGAATAATGTTTGTTTTAAAGTTGCTATTCATCTGGAATTTTGAGTTAATACATTAATATATAAAGTGTGTTAATATATTACTTATATACATATGTCTTTAGTTACCGTTTCCTTTTGTCTGAGTAAGAGAGGCTTAGTAATGATTAACATTTGGTATCAAGTGGATGTATCACCACTTGTTACTTAATGCCAAAAGGTAATCCCTCCAACCTGTTAACTATAAGTGTTCCAGTGCCCCATGAATGAGTTGAATTGTCCCCATTAACCCAAAGATAAACAAGAGCCCTCTAATATAGTGGGATGAATAGTTTTTCATGTCTTTATCTGTTTATTTTTCATAAAATATACTGTGATATAGTGTAATAAGGACTAATCCTTAAAATTCTTTTACTTTCTCATCATTTTTCACTGAGAAAATAGAAACCAACACAGACAAATAATGAGGGGTATTGTCATAAACAATACTGTGGAAAGGATTTAAGCTAAAATACTGGATTATTGTTTACAGATACTTTAAGCTCCCCAAATTATAATAGTAATGAATTGCCTAGATTCATTGTTCTGTTAATTCATTTAATTGAGTGTCCTTTCCAGTGTGTTTTGCATATGAGTTTCAGGCAACCAACAGGCAATGAGGCTATCATTTGATAGTGTCACTTGTGCTTGGACAAGAAGAGAAGCCCTACCAGGAAAAGTAATTAAAAACAATCTCTATCATAACCAAGTTAATTGACCTTTTAACATAAAGTTAATTGAATTTCTAATGCAAATTTATCCAGATGTGTATAAGCTATCTAGAGGAAGGAACATTTGGCCTGCACAGTGATTCTTTACATAAAGGTGCACCCAGAAGCTAATATAGAGAACTTATCAAAATAAAAGGAGCAATACTTAGAGTTCTTCTAACTGAGCCCTAATGTCATATTAATAACAAGTTGTGCCTTTGGGAGAATATGGGTGCCCTTTAAGGTCATAAGAAATCAATCAGAAACATAAGAAATCATAAGAAATCAACATACAAAGAAACATACAAAGTCCAAGAGAAATTCAAGCTATGGATACTTAGTTTTTACTACCCAAGTAAGTTACATGACATCAAAAACAATGCATTTAAAACTCCCTTGGTAAAAATGTTCTTGGAATGAAAGAATAGTGCGTTGAGGGGAAAGGACACTGTACTTCAGTTAGTCTGAGTGCTCACCTAGCCACTGGGAGGTAGTCATCTGGAAGGCTGTCATTGCCTAACCAAACCCCCTGCAGAAGAACAAGACGGCATAACTTTATGTCAACGAGCTGCTTATCCTCGAGTTACAGAAAGACCTCCTCACCTGCTCTGCGACTCAGTGTACCCGAGAGTTTTCCCTTGTTTTGTGGCTATCCTCTCAAATCAGTCACTGAACTCTAATCCTTGGCAAGTGAAGTCATTGGTCCTGTCCAGTCACTTGCATAGAACTCCCATAACACACCTCACAGGGTTCCACTTTGGTCTCAGTTCACCAGCCTGTCTGGACTCCCTAGATCTTCTCTTCTTGGTTGCCAAGATACTTGAAGATGATTTTCTGCATGTCTTTGGTTCAAATACTGTCACTTCTCTCATCACAATAAAAAAATATACCCCAAACAAACAAACAAATAAAAAGCCTCTTTATGAGAAATCTCTGCTTTTATACTACTTAATGCTCAAGTTCTTTCTGAGGGTATTTGAGTTTCTTTGTAGGAACATCAGCAGGGAAGAGGTGCATAGACATCCTGTCTGTGGATTTCTCCTCTTTGGAGGCCAGTGTTTGTGTTGAGAGAGTTTCTGTAGTATAAGAGAGAATGTAAGGTGTTTGAAAAGGTGCTTGGCAGTTTAGTTTGGAAGCCAAGCAATTATTAGGGCTCTGAGCAATTCAAAAGAGAGGAATTTGATGGCACACACTTTGGGGTAGTCTTTAAATCATCTACCACATCAATAAAGTACAACTGATTAGCAGCACTGTTATCCAGAGATTATACATTCTAATGTTAGGAAAATGTATGGGGTAAATATTGTATGAACTCAGTAGACAGAAAGAGAGGCAATCCAGATGAAAACAAATCATAAACAGAAATAGAGACCATGAAGAGCCCGAATTGGAAGGTATAAAATTGTGTGTGTACATGCGTGCACATGAATTTGTGTGCTTTTAATAAAATACAGTGAGCAGCTAGGATTGCTTTATTCAGGCTCCTAAAGTATTCATATCATGTTAATTTCAGCAATGGTTTTTAGGTTTTGAGAGTAATGCATTATGTCGTAAATCTCACAGAATATACTTGTTATTCCACCCTCAACTTTGGTGCTTTCTAAAATTAAACCACTCTGTGGAGCTTCACTTTTAATGAGTATTGTCTTTTAGTTAGATGGTACATGGGAAAAAATGAAATGCATATTCCTTTGGTAAGAGAGAATGCTATTAATTTACAGTGCATATATTTATGCTTGGAAAAGTGTTCCAAAAAGTAGGAATGGGAAATGTATTCTTTTTGCTTTGTACTCTGCTTTAAGGAGAATCATTTTATTTGTCCCATTGTTTAGTTCTAATGTTGAAATGCCAGAAACCTTTAGGTTCTGTCAAATTTTATTAGGGTTTGACAGAACCATAACTCAAATGATCACATTTAATTCAGCTTTCTACTTTTATTTCATTAACCTATTATATACCATCTTAGTTGCTATACCATGCATAAAATAATTATATATGTCTTTGTAGGTAATTTTTTTTTTTTTGAGACAGAGTCTTACTTTTGTCATTTACTTTTATCCTTACTTTTGTCTCCCTTAGTAGAGTGCTATGGTATCATAGCTCACAGCAACCTCAAGCTTGGGCTCAAGTGGTTGGTTCTCTTGCCTCCCAAGTAGCTGGGAGTACAGGTGCCTGCTACAATGCCTGGCTGTTTTTAGAGATGAGGTCTTGCTCTGGCTTAGTCTGGTCTTGAACCTGTGAGTTCAGGCAATCCATCCATCTTGATCTCCCAGAGTGCTAGGATTATAGGCATGAGCCACTGTGCCCAGCCTTGTAGGTAATTTTGAAGTCACCTGAGCAACTCACATATAAAATATAGTTGTTATTGACTCTCTCATAATATTTTCTTTTTGGTAATTTTTTTTGATGTATGTTGAAAGCAGTTAGATAGTTTTTTATTATGCAACATAATAGACACTAGTGTTCCTACAGAGGTTAAAAAAAATAGGAGACTTTCGGTAGGGCTGAAAACTAATACAACCTTTTCAGAAGGAAGTATGGATAATCTTCAAAGAACTCAATTTGATTCTGCAATCCCATTACTAGGCATCCACCCAGAAGAAAAAACATCCTTTTATCATAAGGACATTTGCACTAGACTGTTTATTGTAGCTCAATTTACAATCGCCAAAATGTGGAAACAACCTCAATGCCCACCAACCCAAGAATGGATTAATAAGCTGTGGTATATGTACCACAGACCGTGGAATATTCAGCCATTAAAAAAATGGAGACTTTACATCTTTTGTATTAACCTGGATAGAGTTGGGCATTCTTCCTAGTAAAGTGTCATAAGAATGGAGAAACAAGAATCCAATGTACTCAATTCTAATACAAAGTCAGTAGGTGATTTAATACATACCCAGATAAGAGAAAAACTCAAATCAATTCAAGGTGGGGGTGGAGGAACAAGGGAGTGGGGAGAGGGGACAAGGATGGTGGTTACTTGTGTATGACACATCTCTTAGGAGTGGGACATAATTATAAGAGGGACTTTACCTAACAAATGCAAACAGTGTAACCTAATGCTTTGTAGCCTCAATGAACCTCAAACAATATAAACAAAATAGGAGAAAATTTAGAGATCTGCAGTACCCTCACTTTACAAATAAAAAATCTGAGTACCTTTAAGACAGAAAAAGCCAACATCTCTTGACTTTAGTCCTGTCCAGTAAATTATACTAAACAGATATAGAAGTTAATTATTAATGTGGCAAAGACAAGATTAGGAATTTAGCAATGATCAGCTATTTGAAAATCTAATCATATCAGATTATTAA